GGGAGCGCCGCCGCGGCCGTGCTGGGTTGTGCGAGGCAGGGAAGGGAGCGCCGGGGCTCGGCTCTGCCGCCACTAACGGGCTGCATTTGCTCCCCAGTTCCGCAACCAGTACGACAACGACGTGACGGTCTGGAGCCCCCAGGTACGCGCTGCCGCCCGGTCTCTCGGGCTCTCCTGTGCTGCCCTGTTTGTGCTAGGGGTGTCTCAGGAGCCTGGGGACATTCAGCCGCTTAAAGTTTTCTCTAGTCCCCCTTCCTTTCTTTTTTTCTTGTTCTTGTTTTGTTTCCTCGTGTTTTGCAAACTCCCAGAAAGCCTTAAGCATAAAGCTTTTCTTGCACCAAGTATTACATGTAAGTTTTGTTCACAGGAAAATAATAATTTAAACATGGTAAAGCACTTACTGAAAATTGCAAGAAAGTTATTTCCAGTTGTAGACTAAATAGTTCTTTTCTTGCATTCATTATCCTGCAAAGGAGGGAATGATTTAGCATGTGGGGGATCCAAACCCAGTTTCTTGCTCCTTGAAATATTACTTACCAATTTGTTATTATAAGTCTGTGCAATGAGAATAGTATCTAGTTCCTTACTGAGCATTTAAATATATATATATTCAAGTAAGCCAAAATAGGAACTGTTTGACATGTTAGTCCAGTAATTTTTAACATTTTGCAAGCATTGAGTTGAATGACAGTACCTATACCCATACAGCCTTTGAAATACTAATTTTCATAGTAGAAATTCACATTTAAGAAGATGCTGTTGATGCAGCAACTCCCAATTAATGAGATGCACATTTGAAATAGTTTGGTGTGGACATTTACTGAGAAATTTTTACACTTCAGTAAATGTTACAAGTCAAAAGTTAGTGTAAACTGAATTGTGTATGTTTTATGAACACGTATAATCAGTATGTTTACTATATAGCTTGGATATTCTGTAAGACAGTCTATATTGCCATTTTTACTCCTTGCTTTTGGTTGTGTTTCAAGCTTATTTTGTAGTAATGAGTGATAAATGTTGCATAAATAAATTCACATGTAATCACAAGCCCTCGCATGTAGGCAGAGATATGAAATACCTTTTTGAAGGATCTGGTGAAGCTGGTGATAGTCTGAGACTGTGAAAGGAGAAGCCAGGCAGCTTCAGTTTCTGCCCAGGTGTTTCCATATCTCTCTCGTGGTGTACAGGTTGAGGTAGTAACGTTTTGAAGTTTTGAAGACTATTGAAAAATGATATAGACTATATTAACAGTAGATTTATTTTATTCTGTAGGGGCGAATTCATCAAATAGAATATGCCATGGAAGCTGTGAAACAAGGATCGGCTACTGTGGGGCTGAAATCGAAGACGCATGCTGTTCTGGTTGCTCTAAAGGTAACGTGGAAGCTATGTTCTACAGCAGAGTAGTTTTGGCTTGGAATATTAGTTTTGTCCATTCTCAACATTTATGCTGTATGAAATCCTAGTTTCTTCATGATTGAATATCAGTTCTACACTGAACTATGTGGACTGTGAAGAACTGTGCTGAGCAAGTCTTCACAAATTGGTAAAGTGAAAGAAATTGGTGGAAGAATTTCACTTTAAAGGTTCATTAGGTCTCTGTTAATTTCTTCAGTTATTAAGTAGTAAAACTATTTTTCCTCTCAGAGAATGAATGAGTGTCCTTTTTTTATTTCTGACAGACTCCTGTTGAAGTACAATTAGATTTTTCTGTTACAAGTTTGTAGGTTCTATTATCATTTCATGATCGTGTTCAATTCTTGCCATAAACATTAGTGGATTTCTTCTTTCTGGCTGGCAGGCTGTTCAGTCTGCCACGTAGCTTTTCCTTTTCACACACAGAGAGCACAGTCTGAGCTGGCAGCTCATCAGAAAAAAATCCTGTACGTTGACAACCATATTGGTATTTCAATTGCTGGACTTACCGCTGATGCGAGACTCCTGTGGTGAGTATATTGGTGGTGAGTATATTGCAGTGATTTCTGCAATAATAATGAAGTTAAACTTTGTTTGTAGACTATTGCAAATGAAATTTTTTAGTTAGCTAAGGGTTGGTCTTGAGTTACTGCTCTCTTCCACTATGCTAAAGATCTCAGTATGAAATTCTGGCATTTTGAAAAAGTCATTGGCAGAGGTCTCGTTTGTCCCAGAATTTTGTTCCTTGGTTTTCTTACTATAAAGATAGTCCTCTGTTTTCCCTGCTGTAGTGGGGTTCCCAAGCAGCTTGAGAAAGTCCATTGCTTACTTCCCACTAAGATTATTCTGTGTACATTTAAGGCAGTTACTAAAAACAAACGTAAGCTTCATAGGGGGTTACCTTTTATCTGCTGGCTACACAGTCTCCGCAGATGAGATGAATGCACAGTGAAGGAGGAGGGTCCCTCAGTTGTATCAGAAAGGATAGAGGAGGCAAAGGAAGAATGTGTAAAATACAAATTAATTGATGTACTGTTACAGAGAAACTTTGCTATTTAAATGTGTGGGGTATTTGTTTTGTTTTTTAACTGATTATGTAGGGGCTTTGACCCTTTCTCTCAGCAAGTTTATGTTTATCCTAATGGGCAAATATTGAAACAAAACCCTATTGCAATTTTTACGATGTGTTGTGTTTTTGTTTTGTGTGTTTTGTTTCATTTGTTTCCCTTCTCCTTTCTATGACCTCCCTCATCCAGCAATTTCATGCGTCAGGAGTGCCTGGATTCCAGATTTGTGTTTGACAGACCCCTTCCAGTTTCTCGCTTAGTGTCGCTGATTGGAAGCAGTATCCTTTTGTTTGCTTGTTTTGCACTTGATCCTCTTCATTTTTATATTTCTTCATACTTGTTCTTAAAATGCTGTTATATATTCCAGCTTAAAATTACTTTTTCAAATTAAAATGAAAGTTAGCTTCTCTTTATTCATGTTCCTTGCTTCTCCTTTTAGAGTATACTCCATAATACACCAAATTTATAGAAAATTAATGAAGTACTATATAACATTTCATGAAGCCCTGCTTTTTCTGTTACATATCGGTGCTTTTGGAGGGAAATAAAAGATGACTGCACTGTTTAAAAATGCGATCACTTACTGGATTGCAGTGAATCAGTCAGTGTTTTTCCTGTGGCAACTTTTGTTGTCCCTGTATGGAACAGCGGTGCCCTTGTATCCTGTTATCAGGTGCCTATAAAAAGTTCAAAGGGAAAAGAAATTAAATGAGGCTGTGCAGCACTAAGTGAACTGTTCATGTTACTTTGCTGAATGTACGACTCATTTCTTTCAGGAAAGTTAGTTGCTAAATATTTTTCTGGTGAATAAAGTCTGGTGCTGATATTTCAAATCAGACCTGTGATCTTTTTCTTTGAATCAATTCTTCAATCATGGGCAAGCCTCTGCAAATGTTCTGTGACCATTCTGGTGAATCTCTGCTTGGCTTTGGAAATTATTGTGTTTTCTTGAGACTGTTTCCTTAGTTTGCTTCAGAAACCCAAATACCTACGCAGCGTTATGGCAGAAGACCGTATGGTGTAGGTCTGCTCATTGCAGGTTATGATGTAAGTAGCATGTGCCAGTTACTGTTGATCTAAAAGAATATGTGGTTAACTCAATTTTATACAAGTAAATATTAAAAGGGACAGGTAACAGGGAGAGGCAGACTTGTCAAAAGTTTGTAAATACCCAATTATTTTCTGTATCTATCCTAAAACATAATTTTTATAAATGTTGATTGGTGGCTAATCTTACTTGCACTTGTAAAGTATGCATTTGCAAAAACGAAAACCTAATTATTTTAAGGTGAAAAATGAGATGTTGTATTGGGTCATGAGTTTCAGAAGTGTTGGAGTGTGAAGCCAGACTTGCTCGCATTTTTGGGGAGCAAAATATTGGTGTTTATACACTGAAAAGACTATTTTATTATTTTACTAGTGATAATGGTTGTTTACAAACTATTCCTAGAAAAAATTGTAGAATAAATCTTGAAGAAATTGATAAGAACAATGTTGTTATAAACAATATCAAATGAATCTCTACTGTCACCAAACTATGTGATGTATCATGAAGCAAATCTTTAGTTTAGAAAATGCATGTGTTTTTCTTCTGCTTTTTGCAGGATATGGGTCCTCACATCTTCCAGACTTGTCCTTCTGCAAACTATTTTGACTGTAAAGCAATGTCTATTGGTGCTCGTTCACAGTCTGCTCGAACTTACTTGGAGAGACACATGACTGAGTTTACTGATTGTGAGTAATGAAATTCTGACTTTTTTTCTGCTACTGCTCTATTGTTTTGCATTTAGATAAATACGTAGATATTTAGATGAATATATTGTAAAGTTGGCTTCCAAAATTTATCTTCCCATAAGTCTGCCTGAACTCAAAAGTTGTAGAGAAAACATACGTACATGTTAGAAACGAAGATTTATAATTTGTTAGATCTAACAAAAGAGTAATTTCTACAAGGAAGCCGAGAAGAAAGTAAACAATCTCCATTCAGTTTAACTCTGAAAGAATGATTCTTTTCATTGTAAAAAGGGAATAATAATAATATTAAGCATGAGTATTTAGACTGTGAATTTAAAATTGCAAATTTATTTTTATATAATATATATATTTATAAATATATATTTATATATGTATTTATATATATAAATACACATATTTTATATATTTATTATATATATTTATATATTTTTTATATATTTTTATAGCTGGTTGCTACTGTGTATCTGGTTAGGGAAAAAGAACTTGAGTATCACTTTACTGGAGACAACGCATGTGCCAAAAACATGCATTTTTGTCTTATATGTAAGGAAGGGCTTATTTCTCAATGTATATTTTGATAGCCAGCTCTATTTTCAGAAATACACGAGGAGTAGAGTTACAGAATTCAAAATAGCAAACTGGAAATGAGAGGAAAGGCAAATGAGTCTCTAAAGATCATGCCATTTATTTTCTAAATGTCTTTCTAATTGCATTTATTTAGGTAATCTAAATGAGCTAGTTAAACATGGACTGCGTGCCCTGAGAGAGACTCGTCCTGC